AGCAAACCCCCTTGTTTCTTTTCATGCAATTGTTTGATGAGAGAGCCTGTCCTTTCCAGAAAGGACACTTGACCATGGAAGGTCAAATTTTTCTGCACTGAAACTGCAGTTGTGGCAGCTGGGAATGCTCTGGAGTCTGTGTGAGCTCCCTGTGTCATCACCACAATTCATGGTGAATGCTATGGTGAGATGGAGCCATGCTGGCCTACACCTCCTCTACCATTGAGAAGGTGCCTGAACTCCAAGAGGGAGGCAGGCTGGGAAGATGTCCAACTTTCTGTGCATGCAGCACTTCATTATGCAACTCTCATGAACAGAAATCCTCTGTCCTGGAATGGGAGTTATTAAGCTTTAACTTTGTGGTCACAAATGTATCAGCAGTTTCGAGATCTTCCTGCTCTTAAACATGATGCTAAGAATGTATCAGCCTGGCTATGGGATTTTTTGGGGGATTTTTTCCCCCTTAATAAAGGTGTGTATGAAGAACATGGGGAAATTGAAGGGTGCCCATGACTGTAGCTCAGCAGCTGAAGCAGAGCAGTCAAGCTTAACTCCATGCAGGTGAGGAGGATGGGAGCCTTGATGCCTTCTGCTCCATGGAAACAGCCTTCCATCCACTTGAAGGCTGAAGCATTGCTGGTGGGAGAGGGAAAACGGGAATGCCATGGAAACATCTCTGCTTCACGAAGGAAGTGCAGTGCTGTTTCTTTTGGTTTTACTCCTAGGTGTGTGCAGTGGGTCATCCCACAGCAGCAACTAAACATTTTGTTTCAGTTTTGGGAGAGAAATCTCTCCCTGAAGACACTCACTTGTGTCTTTTCTTGGTTTTTATTTTGTTGATGCAGTGACATACAAACTGATCCTTGCCATCTAGGACCAGGGATACACTATGCCCCAATTCATAGAGATTTAGTGCTGGACATGTTTTGGGGCCAACATCTCCCCCATGTTAAAAGTATTTTATTGCACGCCCATTAGTAAAGGTTGGGTTTGTGTGCTTTAACTAATGAGAATTCTATGCCTTCTTTGTTTTAGGAAGTGTCATCCTCAAGATGTTTTTTCATGCCTATCACGCGCCCAGGCTGAGCCTGGCTGGCGAGGAACCAGGCAGGATGGCGCTCTTTGGTTCCTGCTAGTCCTGCTCAGCCTTGGGTGCTCACAGCATCTCCTCCCCAGCGTTGCTCAGGGTGTGGCAATGAGACCTTGCTGGGGCAGGAGCTCTCCTGCTGCACAACCAGTGCAGTTTAAGATACAAAGGTGTAAAGTGAAGCCCGTGACAGCTTGAGGGATTGCGTGGGCCTTTATCAGCCAGAACCTCTCTGAGCGCAAACACAGAAATGTTGTTGACAGACAACTTTCATAAATTGCTTTGTTGAGTGTCAGCTTCACTTCACAGCACATTGTCACATGCCAGTGCTGACACTTGTGGCAGAACTTGCTGGCGCAGTATGGCATGCTTGTCTGTAGCTTTTTCTGCATTTTCTTCTTAGGAAAATCCTTATGATCCAAACTGGAGCCATTTTATCAGGTTTTGTCCTTGATGCATGGGTGAGAGGGGATGTTTTGCACAGTGTGTACAGCCAGACCCATGCCAACATCACAATTAAAAACGGGGTGAAACAAAATGAATGCTTTAAGTGTACTCATATTTCTGTGATATATTTTCTGCTGCTGGATTTCTAATGCTCAAAATCTTTTATAGGAGCATCTGTTTCTCAGAGAGCAAAGGTTTGCTGCAGCCTTACCAGAGTTAACAGTAGCTATGGGCCAGGTTAGAAGAAAACATCTGTCTTTTTTATCATTTACTTCTCTGTGCTAGGTGTTTGCCCAAAGCCATGCCATCATGGCAAGGAAATTTGTCCTGCTAGCATCACATAGAGCCAGACAAGGGTTGTGGTCACTATAATGTTAAACTGAGTCACAAAACCTCCTAAATGGTTGCTGTATGTGTGGCTAAAGAAAGAAAAAAAGAAACATCACTCATCAAGACTTTAACACCAAGCAAGAAGAGTGAGAAGCTATGAAGAGACTGTAAGAACTTCAAAGTAAGCAAAAAAATTCTCTGTGGATTCCCTTTTTCCCTGAAAATTGGGAAGTAGCAGATGGAAAATCAACAAAACCCACATCACCTCCTTGAGATAAGGCCTGGGGACAGAGCTTGCAAGGCACTTGAGTAACAAAAATGCATGAAACTCTATATGGTATCTACAAGCTGTGGATCCCCTGGATTTTCCCAGGCACCTGGAGGGTGTTGGGTTACCTGGAGCCAAGCAGTTCCCAGTCAGCAGCTGGTGCAGGTGGACACTGTGCAGCTGGGCTCTGCAGCCTCACTGGAGTTTGGGCTATCCTGATGTCAGGAGTCCCTTGCATTACACCACAAGCCGACTTTTGCAGCTTCCCAGAGGTCAGGAAAAAGCCCAGTATTTCCTCAGGGTTTTTATCATGGTTTATGCCATAGTATGTGGCTCATGGTTAAGAAGGGAGCAAGGAGAGCCAGCGCTTAATTTCAGCACATGGCAGAAGATCTGCTCCGAGGTGGTGCAGACACTGGGTGAGGGCAGGAGCAGTTGGCTCTCCCTGTGGGCAAACTCAGTGAGTGTCACATGAGAGTGATTAGCTCAAACACCATGGAACAAAGAAGCAGATTATTTTGACATTCAGGCCTGAATATGGCACTTCCAGGGATTCTTGTGATGGATGATTTGGCCAAAGACTATTAACAAGGCAAAAGCCCAGTGGGGGAAGTAGCAAGTGAGTCCAACAATGGAAAAATTAGCACATGGTAGGACTGGGTCTGCTGTTGCCCACAGCTTTTTGGGGCTTAGGCCAAGGGTATTCTGCACATAAGGCCACAGTAATTTTTAGTCTCATGTTGGAGCTGCTCTAGATGACATCAGTGCCCTTGGCTAGCTGCCATGGCAGGGTGCAGAAGAGGCTGGTGGTATCAAGGTGTGTTGAGGGTGTTCCATTCTGTGCTGGTGCTGGGCTTTCCCTCCACTAGAGCAGCTGGAAAACCTGTGCTTAGTGCCCAAACCATGGTCTGGTGTTTGGTGACTCACACAGTTCAGGATCCTGCTAGCTCAACATATTGGCCTTGAGACTTCATTTCTTTGAGTGTACATGTCTCCAGTGATCCTTTCATTTGGGGTGCTCTCTAGTGTGTGAGGGGGATGAAATGTAGGCAGTGAATTACATCAGATGGGGCAGCTGGGTGTGTGCTCCCAAGCTGAACATGTGTTAGTGACCTTGCTGCAGTGTTGTGGGGCTGGAGGGCAGCAGGAACTCGCTCTGACATGATGTGTAGCACAGGGGGGTGCCTGCTGCAGGTGCAGCATTGGACAGCAGAGCTGTGGCAAGAGGCTTTTATTTCAAGGTTTTAGCTTTTCCAAAACACAAAAGGACATGCTGGAAATTCATTCCTTCATGCTGATCCTGGGAATCTTCCATAACCTTGAGCTCTGGCTGTCTCTTTGCTCACCGAGCCCTGACGCGCCCCAACATCGCCTCGTGTGTGGGGAGGCTCTGGGGCAGACGTGGCTTTGCAGGAGCACCGTGGCCAGCCCTGGCACAGCCCTGGCACTGCCAGCAGCAGCTCTGCCTGTGTGGCTGCCAGCCAGCTGAGGCACTGGCTGGGATGGCACAGGTGCCTCCACAACTGAGGTGGTATTTGGAATTTCACAGGTGCCCGTTATGAGCGATGCAAACGCCCACCCAGCCTGTACCTGCAAGGCTTTCCTTGTGTATAAAGAACTGTTCTGTTCCCTCTCCAGGCCCTTGGGTGATTGCTTTTTCCTCTTGTTTTCACCCCTTGCAGGACCTGTGCCCATGGCTGAGCAGCAAAGGCTTCCCAGGCCCCTCATCCAGGGCAGTGCCTGTTTTTGTCACAGCAGCTCCAGCACTGCTGCTGCTGCTGGTGCCCAAAGTGCCAGAGATGAGTCAGTGTGTGTGATCTGTAACAGGGCACCAGCCCAGCCTGCCCTGCTTCAGTCCCACCCAGCAGCGAGGGTTCACTGCTGACCCCCACCCACACGGAAAGCACCAGACAGGGAGAGCCTTGCCAGTCCCCACTAAAGCCCTGGTTGCTGCCTGGGCTCAGCACTGGGCATCCTTCACCCCACTGCCCTCCTGCTGGCCTTTTCCCATTTGGGAACTCATTACCTCTGAAGTGCTGCTCCAGCATCTGCAGCCCTGGCACTGGCAGGACTCATTCCCACACCCAAATCCAGGCTGCTGCAGCATCTCAGGGCCTCAGAGCATCACAGTGGTAAGGCTGGGGACTGGAGGGGTTTGCAGCCTCTGCTTTGAACATCTGTGGTATGTGTGGAGCCAGAACATTTAGGGAGACCCCAGCTGCTAGAAGGAAATGTCCTCACCTTGGCACAACTGAACAGGCACCACCACCCATGTTCTTCTACACCTGCTCCCTCCTAGGCACACCCCATCCCCACATCCCTCTTTCCATTGCTCAAGTCCTGTTACCCTCTCATACAGCACATGCCTTACTATTTCCATCTGACAGCAAGGATTTCAGCAGCATTTCTTGATCTGTTTCATATTTTAAAGCAAGCAGCTATCCCTCCTGCCCTTTATCTCCTAACTCTACCCTAATAAATATGATTGCTTCATCCTGTGAGACCTGAAAACCCATTTCTGAAATTCCCCTGGCAACTAATACAGTAAAACAAGCATATAAATAATTATGATAAAAAGGCATAAAATGCCAGACTTGGGTCAAATATACTCAGGGAGTGACATTAGCAACAAATAACTACGCAGGGTTTGAATGTAGATGGAAAAGGCTGAATAAAGAGTAGCTACTTCATTGCCCATAACTGCCAGGCTCCTAATTCGGGCAGGCCATATTTTACTGATAGCAGAGGAAACACAGTCATAATGTACCCCTACCTTTCCTGCTTTGTGAAAAATCCCATCCATCCCCAGGGAAGCGAGGATGTAAAAAATAGCAGTGTGAACGTGAGGTGAAAGGATAAGACAGAAAGCACAGTCACAGGATGTAATTCCCATGTGTTTGTTGCACATCATATGCTAAGTTCAATTTTCCAAAAGCTTTGTTTTATTTTTAAAGGTAACATCTTTATTATTATTATTATTATTATATTTATTAGTTATTATTATTATTATTATTATGCAGAGATGAGATTTTTCCCCCTTTGATCACAGAGCAAACAGTTTGCTTTTGAAAATGTTAATGGAGTCCTGATTTAAAACATTTTTTCTTCACTTTTTTTTTGTTGTTGTTGTTTTTTAAAACGTTGCAACAGGCAGGATCTGGGTTTCGATTTTCTCGTCCTACACAAAGAAAGATTCTGGAGTTCACACTCCAAGCCACTACCGGTAGGTCCTGCCTTGCCCAGTTGTCATCATCTCAGTGTGGTTTCGCCAGGTGGGGTGGGTAGGTGGGTGGGAGGGGAGGAGTTGGAAGAAGGGAGGGTATTTGTCAGCTATGTCGAGTCTTGGTTAACAACTTTGCCTCCATTCATGGTTGGTGTCCCTGAACTTTTCCTTGAGCGTCCTTGTTTTTCTCCAATTTCATGCAGCGATGGCTCTCTGTACATGCACACTGCAAACACAAGAGACTCCCGTTAACAGCCCTGAAGTCACAGACAGTCATGACCATAACAAATTATTTCTTTGTACATGATGCTGGATTCCAGCCCCATTGCAAACACACACACACACACACACACACACTCTTACAAAACCCCAACTGACCCAGCAGCAGATCGTGTTACCAAGCAGGAACTGTTTACTTGCCCTTGCTGCCATTTGCTTCTGTCTCTGTATTCTTTCAAAGGCAGAAACAGCAGATTGACTGCTCACAGATAAATCTTTCTAGGTTTTATGTGCTTTATAGCTTTTTCATGTTATATTCATATATATAAAATAAACATTTTAGCTCACAGAGCCATGTACTACCTTGAGATGCTGATTACCATCTAACAACAGGTTCAAGAACGACCTGGTTCCCAGCCCTTGACCTGCAACCAAAGCCCTTGAGAGACCTGAATCAAAACTACGCCTGCAGCTGAGCCATGAAGGCTTTCTGGGTGTTGAGCTGTGGATCTGAAGTGGTGACTGAAGCCTATTTGCCTCCATCAGCCAAGATCTGCTCTCGGCACTTCCTATTTATTCCTCAGTAAATCAAGCCAGCCAGCCAAGGTCAGGGCTGTGAGCAGACACATGGGATGAGTTCAGTGACAGCAAGTCAGGAGCTGTCCCAGCGTTCTGTTGTCGCCTGGCAGCACCTGAGAACAGGGTGGCTGGAGGGCACCTTCTCTCCAGACCCCGGCTATGCAGTTTGTGTCCTATAAAAATGCACTTGCTGGAGCCCAGACAGCCGGAGGAGGCAACGTTTGCCCAAGGCATGGCTCATCCCCACGTCCTGGGCAGGACAAAGCATTTATCCAGCTCACCATGTGGACTAAGTCCTCACGGCTGCCCTCGTGCCATGTGAGGTGTGCCAGAGCAGGGGCACGAGCTGTTCACACCAAGGAGAGCATCTCTGATGAGCTCACTGCAAATGTGGCAGGGTGCAAATGAGATTGAAAGAGTGAGGCATCTCAAGGGCAGGCACAGTGGAGTTGAGAACATAAGGCAGGTCCAGACTGCAAATGTCATGTCCAGATCTTTGCAAAAATTAGGAAATGAAGAAATGATTATGTACTGCTTCATTTTGTGAAGTCATCACATCACAAACAATGGCACAGAGCTCCAACACAGGATAGAGCCTATCAGGGTTTGGTTTTGGGTAATCAACAAGAATAAAACTTTAAAAATTATCTGAAGAAATGAAAAAAACCACCCCATGTACAAAAAGGCAATGTAAGTGTTTGTATCTATCGTCTCCCTTGATTTGCAAATAAATCCCAGCAATTAGAGGCAGGCTGAAAATGACATTATTGCTCTGTGCTTTTACTCCTGACTAGATAAACAGTTACAGCACTGTGCAACAATACAGGACAAAGATAAAGTGCAGTCAACTGTGTATTAATAGGAGAGATATTGAATTGAATATATGAGCAGTGAAAAAATATTACTTTTCCCATAGCATATTTTTCATGCAAGGCTTTCAAAGCAGTTGAAACACACACACACACACACACACACACACACACACACACACACACACACAATGGTCCTCCCAGCGAGGCTGAAAGGAGGTATTGCTCTGCAAACTGTTACTGCTACTGGAGCCATTTTTCTTCATGAAAATTAGAGAAAAAATAAAAAAGAGAAAATGAAGGAGTTGTCCCATGGGTGTGGGCCAGGGTGAGCTGTGTCAGGACTGCCCATCAGGTCCAGACAATGGCTGCTGTCTGCATGTTGCAAGGAGAATGTGTAACACAGCAGCAACAGATGGAAATAGGGCTCTCACATCCCCTTTTAGTCCTGAGCTGCCCCTCACACCTTGGGGAGGATCACTCAACAACATGGTGATGGTGAATTTGCCTGTTGTGGCGAAGTACCCAATAAAATCTCAAAGTATGGAATGGTTAACAACAGAGGAAAACCCATGCCCTTGTGATTTCTTAGCCTGAGCTGCAGAGTCTTTGGATAGCACTGAGGGTGTGCTTCACTGCTGTGACTCACCTTATTCTCAGATGTGATGTTTGCCCAGCAGAATTATGTATTTGTGCCAATGTTGTCCCAGTGCCCCTGACATTCCATACACAAAGTTTTGTCTCAAGTGCACTGTTGCCTTCATCCTGACCTCTCTGGTCCCAAGCTGGAGCTGAAGGAACCTCATGAGTTCTTCCCCCAGAACCAAGCTCATCTCACTCACACCCATCCCCAATAAGCCATCAGGCTGGGTCAGATGCTGAACCACAAGGACTGAGCCCAGGTGAATGCTGCAACAGCACCATGGCATGCTGCCTTTCCTCAACTCCCTGCCTCTCACCACAGCCTTTGGCAAAAACCTTGAGCTGCCAACAAGGCCCACAGAGTAATGAATATAAACCAGGCAACTGAAGTAAACAACATTTGCAGCTACAAATGAAGGAAACTCTGTACCTGGCAAGCAAATAGGGCAGGAATTATAAGTTTTATCTTCCAGTCTAGTGCAGGATACCAATACTGATGTGGGGCATCATGTGAAGGCTGCTCACACTGAGCTTTTCAGACAGAGCTGTCAAAGCCTCTGTACAAGACAGGCTGTGCCAACAGCCCATGCCAGAAAATCTTTAGCAGTATAGGACAAGCATATTTCAGTATTTAGATACACCTGTAGAATCAGTGCATGCAGTTCTTACATGGCATCATGCACAGGAGATGCCTGGACATTCTCCTACTCAAGAGGCTTTGCACATGTGCTGAGCTGTGGCCATGGCTCAACAGGGGCTGTAAACCCCCTGCACTGTGGCACACAGGTGTGCACACCTGCACCTGCACAGGGCTCCAAGGACAGCCCAACATGTTGTGCACCACAGGCTCCTGGACTGCAGCTTGTTCCTCTTTGCACTGAGGAATTCTGAGCGTGACTCACGCAGGGAGATGTTAGTCATGGACCGGGAGGGGGTGTTTGCAAACGGACCCGTGTGAGTGCCCAGATCTTCACAGCTTTGAAAGTACATCACTGGGCTCCAGGACCTGCAGCACTCACTGGAGGTCTCTTTGGGATCCCTCTGTGTGTATGTGTGTGTAGACACACTTCCCTGTCACCTGCACTGAGGTAAAGCAGCAGCAGTGTGACAGTCATGCCCGGACAGCTGGGAGGTCTGCTGGAGCACACAGCACAAGGAGCTTTGGAAGGATGAGCAATTCAGCTAGAACAAGAGTTCCCTCCCTGCTTTGCCTTGCTTCTCCCACCCACCCACACCCACACACCTAGCCAAATACAGCCCTTAATGTCTAGAAACCAAGCTAATGCTTTGGAGTTTCAATCAGATAATCAGCTCCTATGCCCCAGATTCCAATCAACACATCCATATTCATGCTTTAATTGGAAAGTGCTGTTAGCTTGATCTGCTGAAGAGCTGCAAGCATTAACAGAAGGGGGTGAACGCAGTGGAGCTGTGCCCATGTCTGGTTCTTGGGGCTTTGATTCCCTGCTCCCCTGTGAAGCAGCAGTGCCTGCCACTCACAGGCACAAGGGAAAAATTTGCACTAAGATCAAATCAAAATTAGGAAGGAGACTGAGGGTACAAGTGAGGAGGACGGGGGTGGCAGGGACCATACTTCCTGAAGGCAAAGGCGTGGAAGGGGCTGCCTGTCACCCAGAACAGCTCAAACTCTTGCCTACATGCTGGCACAGGATCACACTCTCATTTCTGCTTCCCAGACACGGCACTGGCACATCACCCACACGATGACACTGAAATCACCCCGGGCATCAGGGACTGCCTGAGTTTGGGAAGCATCGTTTTGTGTCCTGACCCCAGCATTTCTCACTTGGCATCACTGCAAGTTGAGGAGGTTCAGGGGATGCAACAAACTCCCTTTCCTTTCTCTAGAATATGGCAAAAAGCTTATTAAGCACATTAGATATTTCCCATCTATCCATCTTCACTCTGTGTCTTTCCTTGTCTCAGACCCTTGCGAGTCAGGAGGAACCAAAACTTTTTTAAGCTGCTGTTCAGCAGGTGGGCAGCCCTGCAGGATCACCATGTGCCCGATGGTGCTGGGCTGGATCTGGGCAGGGCTGAAGCACATCCTCTGGTAGGATGCAGGCTCCTGCAGGCTCCTTACCTGCACAGATACCACAGCTCTGGGTCTTGGTATCTGCCCGAGTGGCTCTATTTGCCAATGCTTTGGTGCAGGGAATTAACTGCCTGAGCAGCAGCACTCAGGGGCACCAGGGAGTGAGTGATTAGGCACCCTCATTTTCTGCCTCTAATTACTGTGTTCTAAATCCCAGCTGATGCATTTCAGAGGCATGTGAGCTCATGTCTATCTGGAGTGAAGATAGACATGTGAAATGTGAAGGATGTTGCCAGGTGGAATCACACTTTGTTCAGATAAGAAAGGCAGCACAGGATGGCAAAAAGCCAAGCAAAATCATGGTTAAAATACATCACATTTGCCATCTAATAAGATAATCAAGAGTCTGATAGATGAACAAGTGAGTTACTGTGGCATAGAAAAAATACCAAAGCCTTCCCACCTGGAAGACAGACCCAAGAGAGGAGCAGTGTTAGCAAAGACTTAGAGTGTGGAGATTTTGAGGTTTGATTTTTTAAGAATACTTTTTAGGATGTTGGGAAACTAACATTTTATATAGGCAGGTAGTAACAGGACAAGGGAGAACGGTTTTAAATTAAAAAATGAGAGATTTAGGTTAGACATTAGGGAGAAATTCTTCTCTATGAGGGCAGTGAGGCACTCCCACAGGTTGCCCAGAGAAGCTGTTGATGCCCCATACCTGGAAGTGCCCAAGGCAAGCCTGGATGAGGTCTTGAACAGCCTGATCTGGGGAGGGTGGCATCTCTCCCCATAGCAGGGGGTTGGGACTAGATGTTAAGGTCCCTTCCAACCCAAGACTTCCTATGATTTATGTATTAAGGTGATAACCTTTGAAGCATTTTCACAAGGCCTACTGCATTTTTCTGGTCAACAGTCTTGTACTTTACAACATCTGAGGACTCTGCCTTAACAAAACTTGGATGTTATTTCCCTGAGGAATGACACTGGGAAGGATCTGTCTGCTTGAATACTCATCAGTGGTGATAAATGGATCCAGAATAGTCATTAAGAGGTCACCTTTGTATCTGAGACATGCTCACATCATGAGGGCTGAGGTGCCATAAATTCAGAGTTAGGGATTGCTCTGCTGACTTGGAGGAAGTTTTCTGCTTCTGTGGCCAGATTTGCTGCCCTAAATGTCTTCTAGTTTGGGCCAGGAGAGAAAGGAAATGTAACTCTTTGGGAGAGTTAAATTTGGAAAATATGTCTTCAAGAAGAAGGAAATATGAATAACAGAGCACATCCACTGTAAGCATCTGATAATATTCCTACTTAAATGACTGGAAACTTCTCACATTGAGATAGACTTGGATATTTAGAAGAACAAAAGGCACTATGGATGGTAGGATTGTTCCAGCACTAATCATTACAGACACTTAAAGAGACTGAAATTCCTCTAAAAGATTGCTTGTTGTCCAAATGACAATTATACTCAAGCTCATTTCTTGTGCAGTCTAGTTCAATCTTGATGTCTTCCCTTTAGGGTTCATTTAGCTCGAATAATCAGCGATCAGAAATAAAAATATCAAAAGAAATGTGTTGCGTATGTGTGTTTTGAAGCAAAGCTGGCACCACACAGTCCATCAACTGCTGCCTACCAGGCTGTTTGCCTTGGCTTTGCCTGTGCACAGATGGGAGAAGAACTTAACGTCTCCCCTGTTATTACTTAGTAAGTTTTTTGTGCTTTCATATTGATTAAGCTTAATCTTATTTCCAAAAACAAACAAATCCTACCTACACTAAACTAAAAAAAAAGTCCTACCAACCAAAACCCAAAACTTTTCCAGTTGGTATCTATTGAATTTTGTACAAAATACCTCCAGCATCCTGCCAATCTACATGAGTCAAAACACTGTGAGTGTTTAGCACAGCAGAAAGCTGTAGCTGCTAAAAGCCATAGATAACACACATCCATACATAGATGCCACTGTGTATATATGCATATGTGCTCCCATGAGTATTTAGAAATTATCTGCGAGGATGTTTCTTATTTACGTGTAAGTTTACTGTCCATTTGCAATTTCAAGGAGACTTCTGAATTCAGAGAGCAGGATGAAGCAATGGAAATCAAATGAGCTTAGGGAGCAATCTGAGCTTTTTTCTGTTTCCATTCCCTGTGAACCCTTTCTTTACTCAACTGCTGCAAAATTTTTCTGTATATCAGAAACAGCTGGGAAGTTTCATCTCAGATATAACTGCTATTGAGTGGTAGGTGAAGTGATTCCTAGCAATGGATGTGGCAGTTCTTCCCAGGAGGAGCAGATTCCTCCTTGCTCACATTCCTGTGTCAGCCATCACGGGACAGGGCTAATGTTAGTGGTGATATCCAGCAACAGGAAACCTGGGGGTGTGACTGTGGATGGAAGCTGTGTCCTGAATAAGCAGCAAAGCCCACACACTGGGGCAAGCCACAGCATTCTGCAGAACTGACACACAAATACAGCAGGAGAGTGCTTTGAGTATTTCATTGGAGTCATAACAAAGAGAAAGAAGCTGTTAAAGCAGGGTAGAAATTGCCCCTTTTCTGTAACATCTCTGCTTGCAAGCTCTGCTCCTGGGGACTTTGATGGATGCGGTGCAGAGAAGTCACGTGGAGATGAGCAGGTTTTACTCCAACCCTCCCCACAAGCCTCTGCTACCTACAATGAATCTCAGGCTTGGGAACAGAGTCCTCCGTCTGGAGTCCCAGTCCCAGACAGCTGAATGCTTTGGGAAGCTGACACGTGCCTTGGCTTGGGAGACTGCCAGCTCTTTGATGCAGCAGCGCTCACAAAGCCTGACTGCAAAGCATGTGGAGGAGGGAAGGAGTGGAGGAGCCCTTAATTTGGCTGCCAAGTTCCAAAGCGCTCGCTGCTCGGGAGGTTATGTGACAGCTGTGATTGAGGCAAGTGTGGGAGGATGCAACTGCGGGAAAGGGAAGCTCTCGGGCTGGGCTGGGTTATTCAAAATGAAAGCCAGAGCGGCTTTTGCTGAAATGAGATCTCTGCTGTGGGTCAGGCAGCTTTGTTAAGGCAAGGCTTTCCACAAGGAGAGCCACAGCAATGGCCTAGTTTAATGAATGCAGAAGGAAACTATTGAGCTGTTCAGCAGACACCATGCATGCTAGATTAAAAAAAGAAGCCTGGATTCAAAGGATCCCACTGATCAGTGCCAACGCCCAGCCAGGCAGGGAAGAAATACCAGAAGGAGGTGGAAACCCAGCTGTGAAAGCTGGTGCTGGTAAAAGACTGTCCTCGTGGTCAAGGCAAGAGAGAAGCTGGTGACCAACCCCATGCCTGAAGCAGGCCCTGTTCCTTAGCAACACACCAGGGCTTAGGGTACCAATCCCACTAATGCCTCAGATAAACAACAAAGGGCTCCTGGCTGCAGAGAAGCTGTTGAAAACAAGCACATGACAAGCAGCTCAGGCCATTCTCTGCTCTTTCAACATTTCCATTTCCTGTGCAAAGCCCACAGATACTCAAGGAATGCTGCACTGAATTTCTCTAATGCTTTGCTTCAGATGGCCTTTTCCTTACACTCACAACTTCCCACCCCTGAGCTGGGAAGCTTTTAAAAAGGCCACTGCTGTGTGGAGTGAGCTGTGGCCCCCACCACTTGTGAGTGGTACCTGTTAGGGGAGCATCAGTTCAAGCCTTCTCCCACAGCCAACATGAGGAGCACAGAGGGAGCACAGAACTGTGCAGCCAAGGCCAGCTCCAGGCTACTGTGTCCTTGAAGGAGACAAATGGCAGGACAAAGATGGGGTCAGAAAAGCATACCTAGTTTGGGGATCAAAAAGTAGTGCTTTTCCCAAGCAAGAGATAAAAGTGCTGTTTCCAGAATCAAGTTAGTACCTGTTAAGTACTAGGCTTACCACACTACCTCTCCATTTATTAGGGGCCATCCCACAAAAAGCAAAATGTCCTGGCAGGAGCCTGAGGCACACTTCAGAGAGTGTACAGGCATCTGCAGGAGGGCAGAACTTCAGCTCCATGACTTTCACTGAAGCCTCACCCTGTGATGAAGACAGATGGCATGACAGCATCCCATCTAACTTTGGACAACAACTCTACCCCCCAGTGACTAACTAGGATGTCTTTACAGATGAGGAAAAACAGATTTAATCTCAGGGTAGACATAAAAAGAACATCCACAGCTGTGCTGGTAGGACCCATTTTTCTTCTCTTACTATGAATGGAGTGCCAAAGTCTAAAATCAGGTGAGATTAATTCCGTCTCTACTGACTCTATATGGGACTGGAAATCTACTGAAATACACTGGCAAAATCCTCTGAGAAGACAACATTATGACCACTGCAGCATCACATTCCTTTGGAACTGCTGCTGCTTTTCTTTACCAGTAATTTCTTGTGTTGCTGGGATTTTAAATTCATCCTTTAGCAGCACCTCAAAGGTAAGAAACCCCTTTGAGGCTAGAAGGAAAACAGAGCTAACAGGGCAGCCCAGCACTTACCTGAAGTGCTACAAACACTTCTTCTTGCTTTCTGGTCTTGAAGCCCAACACCCGCACCCAGGAAACCCCAACTGTGAAGTTGTTACCTCCCCCTACCCAAACCCCACTGAGGGAGAAAGTGGGCAGATTCCATACCTTCAATGGGTTTGGGTACAAAATGTGATGAGGGTTTGGTTTTTTTCACTCGGTTTCCCTTCATAATTTGACCTTCTTTATTGAGTCCCAGGAACCACGCTCGTCCCGATTCCTGCTGCCGGTACAGCGTGGAAGAATAAATAACGTAGTAGTTTTCAAAGACAGATTCTTTAAATTTGCACTCTGGTGTGAAAACATCCTGCAGTAAGAGAGAGATAGAAGAAGAAAAAGCAATGGAAGAATTAATAATCACTGATCTTCTAAATTAGGCATCACTGAGTGATCCACAACGGTCACGCATTGCAGTTAGCAACAGAAAACAACAGGCATCAGCAGCGCCGGCTCCAGCAGTAACACCCATCTAGACAACTCCCAGCTGAAAGGCAAGGCTGTCCTTCCCTGGCAGAGCTGTGGTTTGCAAAACAGCCTACAGTGAACAGCCATGAAAAATGTGCAGGAAAAGTCAGAAATTTGCCAGGATTTAGACTTTAATACTAAGCAAGAGAAAGAAAAAGAGAGCTGAGAAGCTGACACAGCCTTGCTGTTCCTGATGCCTTCCCCTGGCTTTGCTCATACCTTCTCTGATGGGCAAATGTACCATGCTTGTTGTATAAAATATTGAGGTTTCTTCAAATTCTTAAAGGCAAAAGGCAGTTTATTGAACTATTTAAGAGGATTCAAAGAAATGAGAATACAAAAGCAAGTAAACCATTTAATTTCAAAAGCGGTGAGGAAATGCACAAAGCCTAGAAATCTTTCAATAAAGAGAAAGAAGTAATTTTCAAGATTTCTGGCCTAAGTATTTCTGCAGGTACCAAGAAGCATTTCCACACCTGGCCTGGAGCAGAGCACATATGGATCTGTCCAGGACATGCCCTAAGCCTGTGATGGCTGTGGGAGTGGCTGTGCCACTGCCACTTTCCCTTGCTTTGCCTGAAGTCTCTAGGACGAAACTACACTCAGCTATGGACTGGTACTTGTTATGTCACAGTATTCAATATTTTCAGAACAGAGAAACATTAAACCTCTTCTAAAAGATCTGGCTGGCCAGGGGATTCTGTAACAGTGGGCACTCCAACCTTCAGTGAGTCACATGTGGTTGTTAGTGGGTTGGGTTTTGTTCCCAGACTTTGAGCAGAAGACCTATCCTGGCCAAACAAATTCTTCCACTAATTTTCTAAAAAACATTATTGTAAAATAAGTTCAAGCCACAATGAAAATTCATTTTCTGAATCAAAACTGCTTCAGCAAAAAAATCCCTTCTTACAGGTCCCAGACAAGGCATTTCTGAGGCCTGTGAGTGAAGGCAGATGCTTCTACAGGCAAGTGATGCTCCCTCCCAAACCTCAGCCTCTCCCAAGTCTTTGGGAGCTTCTCCAGCTTTGCCAATGCAAAACCCATGACCAACATTGAGCAAAGCATCTGGAGTAATGCCACGTGTTTACTGCAGACCTTGTTTAAGAGCAAACATTCTGAACATTCAGCAACATTCAGGAACGTGTTCCCAAGCGATCTGGGGGTTATATAAAGTGATGCTGGTGTGACAATAAATCCAGTGTGCAACAGACCTGCAGAGACTGGCAGGCTTGAAGCACAGCAGAAGATAAAGCACAGCAGAAAGCACAGAGCTGTGCTGCACATGTGAATTTTGCATCAATCATTAGCACCACACAGGTAAAAATACCATCAGCAAAACGGGACATTTTGCCTTATCTGAGGGAGTCCTTTGTGCCGGAGAAATAAATATTTTTAAAAGAGAGTGAAACAAGTTAAGAGAGATCTAGATGACTTAGAGCACTATAAAATGGTGTTTGAAGTAGCTTCCCCAAAGAACAGTGTTTAAGTGTTCCTTAATCTGCCCTTTATCTCCAGGCTTTGGCTTGCCTGGGAAGGCACAGCTCACCTGGGAGCTGGGTTTGCAGGAGCTGCCTCTGAACTGCTGGCTCGGGGGCACTCCCTGGCACCAGGCCCAGCCAGGCAGCAGCTCTCAAACCAAACTGGACAACTCAATCCCATTTCCCATGCCTTCATTACCCCATCAGTAAAAGCTGATCATGAAAATTCCCTTTAGGGGGACTAAAAAGTTGGCGGGCTGTGAAAGATAGCTCCCAACTTGACTTAAAACATGGAACTAAGACTATTTTCAATGAAGAAGAAATATAAAAGCTAATATAGAAAAGAAAAGCTAACAAAGAAAAGGAAAAAAGAGATTTTAATTAGAAGTTATTGCAAGTTAAGTTTTCAGCTCAATATCTATTTTAAAATTACTGCAGTGTAATATTTTATGACATGCAGCAGTAGTTCATAAAAGCAGATGCTGTATTGTATACCCACTTGTACCAATTACCTCACAAAATTCTTATATTATTTTAAAGCAAATGCATGTAAAGACATCAAAATAATGAAGATTTTAAGAAAATAAAGAAAAATCTATTGATTTCCTTTAAATGTTTATGCTCCCCCACAAGCAAACAAAAGCATCCCATTTGTTTTGTGAGCTGGCTGGTTGATTCCTCATCTCCCATAAGTCAGTGGAAACAGCACTTCAGGATTTGAACCATGGCAACACTGCTATGAAACACCCCAGCTCTGTCCACTCAGCAGACAACAGACTGCCCAATAACAAAGCAGTTTGTAGCAGCCACTGCTGTACAGACAGAAATCTGAGATAACAAAAGGTATTTTTAAAAAATCTCTGATCTATTCACCAGACCTCTGGGTCATGCACGATTTAGGGGGTTTTTATTTGTTTGGTTTTGTTTATAAGATAAATTCACTGTTGATGAAATGTGCTAGATGGGGAGACCCGGAGTCCAATAGTTTCTCTTTATCTCAGATAAAGAGTGGGTAAACACAACAAAGGGATCCTCAGGCTGTGACCCCCACGTGCTTCTGACAGGACATAAGGACACCCTGCCCCAGAGGTAATGCTATGGTAAAGGCCTGGGGTCATGAGCACCACCTCACTTCCTCACTTGCTGCAGGGACCTTTGAAAACAGGGTCCCTGTTTTCCCTGTTATAATGAGTCCCACTCAAGTAATTTTCCAACTCTCTCCTTGATTGAAATAGCATGACCAGGTATAAGACAGTGAGAGGACAGATGGCTTCTATCTTTTAATCACCAGTCATGTTCAGTCTTTAAACAAAGAAATAAACAGTGACTCCATTTTCTGCACAAAGACCACAGAGGTCCCCTGTCAGGACTGTCATGAACTCAGCTCATTCAGAAAGCCCATCAGTTCTTCTCATTAAAGAGTATGCTTGTGATTTGTAGAAAAAAAAGATTCAATTTAATTGAATGTGAAATATGTCTCTGACTGAATTATTTTTGCATACAAAGTAAATAAATACATTTATTTGTTTACCAGTTGGAGATTTAGAGCCTGAGGTATTTTGTTAAGTGTCTACAGATATTACTGAAAGTGGCTTGGAAAAACAGTTCTTTTTTAAATTATTAAATTAAAAACTTGTATGAAATATTTGCAAAAAAGCCCATTAGTTATTTACATGCAAAATTATTAGCATCTGCTTGCAACTTGTATTTTGCATCTCAGTCCAGTCCCTTTGAACAAAAGACAATTGTATTAAGAAGAGTAATTAGATTTGCTTTGAAAAAACAAACATAGTTCTGGTTTGTGCTAACTGTAGTTTTACTGGAAATTTCACAGTCCAAAAAAAAAAACCCCAACTCAGAAGCTATCACACAGAAAAAAGGGAGATCACATTCAATGACAGCTGGAACCAAGAGAAAGTAAATGGATGCATCTGCCATTGGGGGGGATTTGGTGTGTCAGACCTGCTCATGGAGGGTCTGAGGTACCACAGATTGCCCCAGAAGTTATTTCTGGGTTAAAAAACCAACATGTTTCATATATCCTTGATCCCAGTAGTGTCTCCTGCCATCTGTAGATGGAAATATGGATGTGACTTCCAGGCACAAGCCAATCTCTTCATCACTTGAGCTAGTTTGGTTCTTCTGGGAGATGTTGGGAATGTCTGGGCCCATCTATCCCTCACCACAGCACAGACTGGCAATAGTTTGTGAGAGGGCAGATTTTTTTTTCTAATCCACCTCAGCTGTGACCTGGCCTGGTCAGGTAGATCTAACCCAAACTCTTTAAACACAGTAAGTTTGACTGGACCCTCCTCTGCATTTCTGTAAAGCTGGAGAAATTCCACAGACATCAGTGCAGAAGCACTGCTGTCAGACCTGTAGGCAGGAAGCTGCAGGGCATGCAGCGATGCACTGACAGCCTCAGAGATCTCAGCTTCTTCAATAAATGCCAACCCAACAGTGCTGTAGCCCTGGTGCAATCACAGAGCTGCCAGGACAGGGGACAGCCCTGGTGCTGCTCAAGAAAACAGTGCCAGCCCCTGGCATACCAGCCTGGGAGCATCCCTGCCACTGAGCATCCTCAGCCAGGAGGGGCAAAAAAAAGGGTCCTCAGTAAGCAACAGCATGGAGCATCTGGGTTCTGATCACAAGAGCCAGCAATCTGCTCCCCAGAAGCCCCTGGTGTCCCCAGATCATGGCAGAAATGGTGACAGGTTTCCATATGCAATGCTCAGGGAAAGCCAGCAGGACACTGTCACAGGCTGCTGTTGTATTCAAACCCAGCTGCTCACTCAGCGTCCCCCCAGACTGGGCAGCTTTGTTCATACTGCTCACCATTTCCCTACAAACATTCCCAAAATTGTCAGATAAATAAAGATATCTTTTTTTTTTTTTTTAAGATCTCCTTTTGTTATAACCCAATGGAGAACAGCAAATACACACATACACAAGCAAACCTAATGACTTAATAAATTTAGTCACTGAAACTAGCAGCAATAAAAGAAAAAACCCATTCTGCAAGTAGTTTGTGCCACAGTTTAGGAAAGGGATGTTAATTATGAGCGTTGAAATATCTAACTAACACACTCCCAGAGTAACAGTTTTCCTTTGTTTACAGCACTTATGGGTTTCTCTTTTACATTCTGCACAATTACTGAGCCAGACCTTCAGATGGGATAAAAGCACTAAACTGCACCATAGTCTATGGCATGGCAAGGCTTCCCTCCCAGAGAATCTGGCTCAGGATACTTACTGATGTTAGTGTTAATACTTAAGAGGTCATCAGCTCATTTAAAACATATTAAGTAGGAATCATAAATATCAGCACAGCTATCAGCAGTGGCACTTCACTGTTGTTGTGGAG